GACTATATCTGCTAAATTCTAAGTGGCTTATTATCCTTAAATTTTTTTTAATATTCACCCAAGGATACTTTCCCTATTGATTTTCAGAGGGAGGAAGGGAAAGGAGAGAGACATACACATCAGTTGGTTGCCTCCCGCAGGTGCCCCGACTGGGGCTGCGGATGGAACCTGCAACCCAGGTATGTGCCTTTGACCGGAATTGAACCTGAGACTCTTCAGTTCGTGGGCTTATGCTCTAATCACTGAAAACACTGGACAGGGACAAATTCTTTTTTTTTTTTTTTTTTAATATATTTTATTGATTTTGTACAGAGAGGAAGGGAGAGAGAGAGAATTAGAAACATCGATGAGAGAGAGTCATCCATCAGCTGCCTCCTGCACACCCCCTACTGGGGATATGCCCGCAACCAAGGTACATGTCCTTGACCGGAATCGAACCTGGGACCTTTCAGTTCCCAAGCCGACGCTCTATCCATTGAGCCAAACCGGTTTTGGCCGACAGGGACAAATTCTTAAACTGTATGTCAGTCACACATCTGGGCTGCATGAAAGCAAAATTGAAGCTGAGTCAAAAAACATATGTTTAGCACTATTAAATAAGGAGAAATAAACCTTTTATTAGTTCTGGCAAAGAAACTTGCTAAGTGATATTTTCTGTGCACACTTAAAAATATCTATCAGTGTCCGAGACTCTGATTAACTGGATACACGACACCTTTGGTAAAAAGGGAACTCGTATTATATAGAACTAATTTGGAAATTAATTATTGGATAGGTTTCCAACAAATAGTTTGTATTCTGGGAAATGAAATGTTGCATCAGTGATATAGGGAAAAAAAGATATTTTGGACATAATACTAATGTTTATCAAAATGATAGCTAACTTTTGTTTCAAGTAGTACAGCAATTCCTATTAGGCAAGTTCTCTTTTATTTCTATTTGAAGATGAGGAAACTGAGTCATAGTATATTACTTGACTATATTATACTTACTAAGTGGGTGATGTAGCCAGTATTTGAACCCAGATATTCTGCTTGACTCCCTGGTCTTTTCAACCTCTGTTGTGTGCGGCTGCCACTGCAGACACATCCCTCGTATCTGGCATGAGCTGTGAGCTATAAAGATCTGTTTTAGGTCTCAACAAGAGAAACCTTGTCCTGCTCGATAGGTTTCAGTGTTAGTATTCTCTGTGGGAACTGTATCCTTTCATTCTTCCGATTGGCTATTGTTTCCTCAGGATTCTCTTCCTGCCAAGGATGGCTTTTAGTTTCTCTCTACTACTGTGTCCTTGTTTCTTAGTTATCATTGTTGCTTTTATAGTGTATTATTTTGAACTAAGTGATTATTTTCAAATGTATTTATGATAAAAATGGAGCCATTTTGTTGTCCATTGTCTGAGAGAGAATCACTGCTGTTACTAACTTTTGGGTTTGTTAGATTGCTACATGTTGCATGATATCCAAGGTCTATGTGATCCTTAGTAGACACAATGTACCACAGTTCTCTTACACCTAACACTATTTGCATTTATATTGTATTTAGATGGTTCAAAGTGAAAATGTTTTCCCTCTCAGTAATAAATCCTACTTACTAGTATTATAAAGCGAGGAGGAGAAGAGTGGACAACATAGGGCTCTCTCAGCTGAGCACTGAAATTCCATGAGTCTGTAATAATTTCAGAATAGGAATGTGATTAAATATTAAGGGGTTTGCCTAATGGAGTTAGAGAATGGCACAGATGTTCCCTCTCTATCCCTTTTCCTCCTCCTCACTGAAAAAACATACAATAGAGAATTTGTATTCAATTGGCTAAGAGAAAGTATCCCTAGATTTGTGTGTGTGTAAAATGTATATAAAATTAAAATGTCTTTTATTAATAGCTCCTAAGAGAAAATATCTTTTACAGGCATTGTCAATACTAGGTCACTACTCAAATCAGAGGTCTCAATTTGTGATTCCTATGAATGAATTTTGAGTAGGTCACTGAACTGCTGGCCATCAATTATTTTTTTTTATTTTTATTTTTTGGATATCAACTTTTTTTTTTTTAATATATTTTATTGATTTTGTACAGAGAGGAAGGGAGAGAGATAGAGAGTTAGAAACATCGATGAGAGAGAGTCATCGATCAGCTGCCTCTTGCACACCCCCTACTGGGGATCTGCCCGCAACCAAGGTACATGCCCTTGACCGGAATCGAACCTGGGACCCTTCAGTCCCCAAGCCGACGCTCTATCCATTGAGCCAAACCAGTCCCGGCTCTTTTTTTTTTTTTTTTTTTTTTTTTAATATATTTTATTGATTTTTCACAGAGAGAAAGGGAGAGAGATAGAGAGCCAGAAACATTGATGAGAGACACATTGACCAGCCGCCTCCTGCACAGCCCGCAACCAATGTACATGCCCTTGACTGGACTCGAACCCGGGAACCTTTCGGTCCGCAGGCCGACGCTCCATCCCTCTCTAAGAAATCAATAAAATATATTAAAAAAAAAAAAAAAAAAAAAGAATTTGTTTCTCCCCCAAATTCTTCCCTTCCATGATTTTTTTGTACTTTTAAAAAAACAGGGTTTTTGTTTGTTTGTTTTTTTATTGGTTTCAGAGAGGAAGGGAGAGAGAAACATCAGTGGTGAGAGAATCATTGGTCATTGCCTTCTGTACACCCCTACTGGGGATGCAGCCAAAACCCGGGCAGCTGCCCTGACCAGGAATCCAATTGTGCCTCCTGGTTCTTAGGTTGAACACTCAACCACTGAGCAACACCAGCTGGGCATAGTTTTTATGCTTTTAATAATCATTGTTCAGAAAGTATATTTCAAAAAGCTCTCATTCAATGACACTTTTTGGTGACTTTGTTTTGTTTTGTTTTGTTTCTTGAATTAATGACTGTTTCTGAACTTTTGAGTATAAGTAGATCAGGTTGGTGCAAAACTGATGGGTTAAAGGGCCCTGGAACCTCCACAGGTTCTGTGGTCTGTAGTTTAGGAGTCACTGCCTTAAACCGGTGTGTTTTTGTTTCTGATGTACATAGACTATTTCCAGTAATAACTTTTAAAATATGGCATTTTGATAGTCTCAAGTTCTATTAATTTAGGTCAAGATTAGCCATAGTAAGTGGGCCAAGACCCCCTATCCCCACAGGTCTTAGAGTGAGGTAATTTATGGAATGAAAATGTTTTTAAAGCATTTAAAGTACATATTTATACAGTAAATCTTGCTGCCTAATACTCCATCCCCTTCCAATTTTAAGTTAAGTGTGAAACTTTCAGGGTTACCAACATGGACTTATTGATCTACTCATTGAAAGGAGAATAAATGGGCTTTGAAGATACAGATGTGAATGGGTGATCTTGACCAGGGAATTTACTAGTAAGCTTTCTGAGCCTCACTTTCATCTTGATTAGGGTTGTGGGCTTGTGATGTATTTGGAGAACCTAACACTGTGTCAGGCTTGTAAAAGGTACTTAGTCACTGTCAGTTCCCTTCCCTTCCTCCTTCCTGCTCAAATTGTTTTCTTTTGTAGGCTTCTTTTCCTTTTTCTGAAAAGTTTTGGAAAGTCTCCGTTGGACTCTCTGTCCTTCCTCCCGTCCTTTAAACTGTGAGTCTGCCCTTAGTTTCAGTTCTGGATGTCTGTAGTTTTCTACCTTATATTCATTCATGGGTTCATTAGAGCTTCCTTCTAAGCGATAGCATGCTTGTGTGGCATAGATCTAGTTGGAGAATATCTTTCTGTTAAATATATTGCTTTCATCTTCCATAGTAGTTCTTACTAGTATATGTTGGAAGTCATGTTTACTGCATTCTTGGCTAAAACCTTTTTGTAGGACATAACGAAACATTGACATTTAATTCTGTTGCATAGTTTGAGAACAAATGGACTAGTTGAAAATTAGTATGTTTATATAACATGAAATTAGCTTTCTGAGAAAAACAAATACAGATTTCCCATAAGTATGTTTGTATATATAAATTAATTCTTTCAGATAAATTAATGAGAAAAGTTAAAATTGAGAAAGTTCTGTTAAGCTTTTGTTGCATGTCGTGGTAGAATACTTTGATCTCACTCCCAAGAGTCCAATTGGGAAACCCCAATCTAAAACGTATTTGCTTGCTCCTAAATAGACATTCCCCCTTTAAGATCCATATAACTCATCTTTCAGGTCTCCTGGGCTCAACTTTTGATTACTCTTTCTTGGCTTAATTTTAATTATCCATCAACTGTGGGGGTTTTTTTTGTGTTTTTTTTACTTCATATTCTCTCTTCCATTTTGATCTTTTATTTAAACCTGTCTTAGGGATTCTTTTTCCTAAATATGTTGGAATCCATACCTGCTTCTTTATTTCCTGCTGTTGCGCACATCAACTCTCCTGGTCTGCTGTGGCAGTTTCCTAAGGTGCCTCCCTGCTTCTGGTCTTAAGCAGTGCCAGTGTCTTTCATGCATCCACGGGTTTGAATACGCTGTCGCCCAGGAGATCCTTGTCCACTTGGTGATTTTCCTTGATTCTCAGCTCCAATGTCATCTTCATAACCTTTCCCTCAGCAAAGTTCAGCATTTCCTTTGAATTTCCCATAGCATTTTGTGGACGTATTCTTGCTGTGATTGACATATTTTGCTTTCCTTTAAATCTTAACTAGAGGCCCAATGCATGAAATTGGTGCAAAAGTATGCCTGCCTTCCCCCAGCTGCCAGCATCGGCTTCCCTCTGGCACCTGGGACCCAGGCTTCCCTCTGACCTCTGGCAGGCACCTGGGACCTGCGCTTCCCTCCCAGCCCTGACTTCCTCAGGAAGGACATCCAGTCTGATTAGCATATTACACTATTATTATAGATTTGAATTTTTGGAGATCAGAGACTATTACTCCTTTTTGCCTGACATGCAGCCAGTTGATAAACATTGAATGAATGGATCTGGTAGAAAATGAAATGCTGGTTTATATTTAAAAGAGAGTTAATTATCATTTTACTTTTTTATGTTAATATTTAATATTTTGTTCTAAAGATGGTGGAGCCAGGACAAGATTTACTGCTTGCTGCTTTGAGTGAGAGTGGAATTAGTCCAAATGACCTTTTTGATATCGATGGCGGAGATGCGGGGCTTGCAACTCCAGCCCCTACCCCTTCAGTTCACCAGGTAAGAGTCCTCCAAAGCCTCACAAAAGTAGATTTCCCCCCCTTAATTTTAATTTCTACTTATAAAAGTAGGTAATATTAAGGCTTAACTTTAACATGTATGTGAAAGTTATTTTTATGTTGAGTATTAGTCTTCATTCATGAGGTGGAAAACATTTGCAATGAAAATCAAAACATTTTTTGCTTCGTTGTATATATAAAAGTAAGAGATAATTGTTTATTTTTCTGGGAGAATGGTTAATCTTACTAATTGTCTCTATGTACTTTATAGGGCACTTTTCTGAGGTTTTACTATACACATTTTCTGAAAGCAAAAGTGAGATTCTGGTGTTAGTGAAATTTTCTGAAGCTGATATGCTTGCAGCGATTGTTGCTTTTTGGCCCTAGTGATTTTACATTCCATTTGAGTGTAAAGCTTAATATTTTTTATTTTAATAGAATACATACATCTCTTGTTCTTGAAACGGAATTCACTGCGTCCTTCTTTTTCTCGATGTTTTCTCTCCAGTCAGTGCCACTTAGTACATTAGAACTAGGTTTGGAGACTGAAGCAGAAGTTCCTGTTAAACAAGAACCAGAGACGGTACCTACTCCAGCACTGTTAAATGTTAGGGTAAGAATTATTTAGATTTGGCATTATTACAGAAACAGTTTAGGACAGTGGTCGGCAAACTCATTAGTCAACAGAGCCAAATATCAACAGTACAACAATTGAAATTTCTTTTGAGAGCCAAATTTTTCAACTTAAACTTCTTCTAATGCCACTTCTTCAAAATAGACTCGCCCAGGCTGTGGTATTTTGTGGAAGAGCCACATGTGGCTCATGAACCGCAGTTTGCCGATCACGGGTTTAGGATATAGTAAGGAAATAACCTTTCATACAAAGCAGTTTTATCTCACTAGTTCTGATTTTTGCTACTTCTTTCCCAATATCCTGCTCTCACCTATTTTGTAAAACATTTGTTTCATTATTATTTATTTATATTGGTCAAAAGATAATTTGGACAAAACAGAAATTTATTTTATTGCAAATGATACAAAATTCATGCAATAAAAGATAAACTACATTATCTCACTGTTCTCCATTTTTAAGTTATTGTCCATTGGTATGTAATTTTTATGTGATTATAATTGTGCTTTAAACATAGCAGTTATTAACTTAAGCCTAATGGTATTATATAAAATTATTGGACAAACTGTTTAAAGTTTGGTAATGTGATAAGCTTGTTAAGTTTTTTTTTTTTAAATTATTGATTTTTTTTTACAGAAAAGAAGAGAGGGATAGAAAGTTAGAAACATCGATGAGAGAGAATCGTCAATCAGCTGCCTCTTGCATACCCCCTACTGGGGATGTGCCCGCAACCAGGGTATATGCCCTTGACTGGAATCGAACCTGGGACCTTTCAGTCCGCAGGCCGACGCTCTATCTACTGAGCCAAACCGGTTTGGGCAAACTTGTTAAGTTTTATTTAAAGGTGATAGGTAGTATCTGGAAGATTCTTATTACCGGGGTCATGGAGAAATAACATAGTTTCAGGTGAAAAGGAAGTAGAAATATAACTTACATTTATAAAAGTATCTCAGTTATACTTTAGTTGCTTGTAGTCACAGACATACTGTTATCTCAAATCTTGACTTTTTTTAATTGGTGACATGATCACCGATTATTTGAAAAGTACCTGTCTGACCATTTGTGTGACTTGGGAATTTAGAGCTCTGTTTGGTAGTTTTATCTTATTAAGTTCTAAACATTAGTAGAATCTGTGTGATAGCAAACATTGGACAGGAGTCCTGGAATCTTAGAAACGGAAAACGGTCCTCAGAGAGCTTGGGCCTCCAGAGGTGAAGTGATGTACCTAGCTGGGCAGTGCTGAGACTATACACTCTCTCCTCTGTTCCTGTGTTACAAGGTTATTGTACATCACAGCTTGCTTAGAAGAGTCCCATTTTATGTTTGCTCTCCCCAACAGTTATATAAAATGTTACACTACTGTACCTTCTTTTCCTCAGAATTGTGCGTTCTAGTTGATAGTTTATTATAATCATATTTAATTAAAAATGAAATGCCATGGTTAGGTAAGAATAGAAGTCAGTTTTAGGTTTTAAGTGGACTACTGCGTTTATGAGAGTGGTGTGACGTGTATGGTTTTCTTTTCTAGCAACAGCCTCCATCTACAACAACATTTGTGCTGAATCAAATAAATCAACTTCCGACCTTGGGATCTACAATTGTAATGACTAAAACACCACCTGTAACAACGAATAGGCAAACCATCACTTTAACAAAGTTTATCCAGACCTCTGCAAACACACGCCCTTCGGTCTCAGTACCAGCAGTACGAAATGCCATGCCCTCTGCACCTTCAAAAGACCAGGTTCAACTGAAGGACCTTCTGAAAAATAATAGTCTGAATGAACTCATGAAACTGAAGCCACCAGCTAATATCGCTCAGCCAGTGGCAACAGCAGCTAGTAAGTCTGCTTTCAGTGGTGTCAGTTGTCTGCCTTTGATAAGAAATATCAGCGTGTTTTTAAGGGTTTCTTGGGTTTTAAAAGAACTGGACATGAAAGAGGTAATAATTTTATGACTGTATACTTACAGTATTTACACTATTTATTTTTAAAAATATATATTTTATTGATTTTTTACAGAGAGGAAGGGAGAGGGAGAGAGAGTTAGAAACATCGATGAGAGAGAAACATCGACCAGCTGCCTCCTGCACAACCCCTACAGGGGATGTGCCCGCAACCAATATACATGCCCTTGACCGGAATCGAACCCGGGATCCTTGAGTCCGCAGACCGACGCTCTACCACTGAGCCAAACCGGTTTCCGCGTATTTACACAATTTAAGTGAAGCAAAAATTTAGGAGATTTAGCATTAAGCTTTGAAATGAGGTATGGAATTGCCACGTAGTTTCATTGACATCATGATACCTCAGTTTTATATATGGTGAATAGCGGGTTAATATTTTTCTCAATGCTTTAAATCAGTGCTTCTCAAACTTAATATGCCTGTGAATCACTAGGGATCTTTTTCAAAAACAGAATCAGATTCTGTAGGTCTGCTCTGGTGGGGCCCAAGATTCTGCATTTTGGAGTTGCTGTTACTGGTGGTCCTTGGACCATGTTTGAGGTGAACAAGCTTTAAACTGATAGTCTGATACTTGAACTCTGACCTTTACAGTTTTATGATTTTGCCTGTCATTGGATTCATTAATTATGGACAGTTGTGTTTTTAGTAAATTCTCATTTAAAGTACATTATATTCTTATTATAAAATAATTCACTATGTTTTCTTTGAAGTCGACACGTATATTTTTATAGCAGCTTTATTGAGATACAATTTACATACCATAAAATTTTCCCATTTAAACTGTACAGTTCAGTGGGTTTTAATATATTCACAGGATTGTACAATCATTACCTCTAGCTAATCCATAATACTTTAATGATAGGTTTAGATTTAAAGGGAAACAGCCCAATAATATTTTGATCACACCTTTTTAGGAATTCATTTATGCATAAAGAATGTAGATTTTATAGTTAGTTTTTCTGCTCTGGAGTTGCTTTTTTTGTTGTTGCTCACTCATTGAACAAATATTTATTGAGTGCCTTTATGTAAAGCACTGTTCTGGGATTTTTGAGGCTATGGATGAGATGAAAACTGTTGAAATCACTTCCCACAGGGAGCTTGCATTCTAATGGCATTTCAAAGCATGTAAGTTACATAATATGTCAGGGATAAGTGTGATGGAAAGAAGCTGAAAATGTTGTATAGGGCAGGAAGAGGTTATAATTTTAAGTGGAGTACTCAAGCTTCGTGTTTAGTATAGTATGGTTATTTTTAAAGGTAAAATAGAATTAATCTGTCTCTTTTTAATTTTGGTTATATCAAATTTTAGTATATCGCCGAAACTGGTTTGGCTCAGTGGATAGAGCATTGGTCTGCGGACTGAAAGGTTCAATTCCGGTCAAGGGCATGTACATTGGCAGCTAGACGATGTTTCTCTCTCTATCTCTCTCCTTTCCACTTTGTAAAATATCAATAAAACATTTTTAAAAAATTTTAGTATATCTTTAGAAATGGAAAACGTGACTTCATAAGAGGGGTATTTTTTCCTTGTCTTCTCCATTGAACTAAATAGTATTTTAGTTCCTGTCTTATATATAAACTATGTTGACTGATGGAGATGCTAACTCTAATTTCAGTTATATCCTGAGCTGACCAGTATGAAATATAGGATTAGCCCTGATTGGGAATCGAATCATGATCACTTGAGTCACATCAGTCAGGCAGGAGATAAGTTCTAATACCTGATGTAGTCTAATGTATAATTTTGTGGTAGAATTGACTGCTTAGAAGTTGTGATGTGCTTGGTTTATAAAGTAGGGACTAGAGATATTCCAAAGGAAGGGGCAAAGTTTGTAAGATGATGTCGAACTAACTGTGTCTTCAGGGACAAATGCTATTAAAGATATAAGATAATATAATCTTTATGTTTGGGTCTAAACTATTGGGCTTTTATCACTATATCTTACTCTCAACGTCACTCTGTTGAATCTACTGTAATCTGGCAGCTAGATACCCATTGATAAATTATTTTTACTATCTTTGGACTGATTTCTATTTTCTGCTTTGGAGAGCAGAACCTTGGCACCTGATTGAGGTGCAGGGCAACATCTGAATGGCTCCTGGGAAACTTGGAGTGATCAGCAGTTAGTGGAAGCTGCTTTTCATGAAAGGTTTGGGGTTTAATGAAGAGATTGTTGCTTTTATGTGAGTGCCTCTCTGAGTATTCCACTCCACCCTTCAAGTCAGTATGTGCTTTCACAATTTAAAAGAGAGGGATTTGCCATGTGAGGGAAAAGTTTAGAACAGAAAGCAGGAGAAATGTAACCTCTGAGTGGAGCTGTACAAGTAACACTCCCACATCCAATATAGAAATTTTAAAAGACAAAAGACTGCAAATCAAGGCCGTCCTAGTGTGGAAGCCTGAGCAACTTTGTCAGACCAGGCCAGGGCTGAGAAAGAAACAGTGAGAGAATGCTGGAGATAAGCACATGTTTGTGTTGCAGGAGAGAGTCATGTTTACACTGAAAGGGAAGAACATTAAAAGTATGAAACTGCACAGAGCAAGGTGTTGCATGTTCTTGTATTTCTTATCTTTGGCTGTTGCCCTATTTGGAGCCCTTAGCCCTTAGGGGTTCTCATCTCTCACTTGAGCTCCAGTCCTGCCACTCTGAGATCTGTTCCCTGGCTCTTCTACAGTTCTTTGACACAAATTGGAACCCAAAGTAACTTTATTATCTTTGTTCAGCATTATTTTGTCAGCACTTTAATCATAGTTGTTTTGGACTCCCTGTGACAGGCTCCTAAATACTCCCCATCTTTTGGTAGAACAGACAAGATGCTAATCATTGCCCTTGGTGTGATTTTCACACTGTGATCTCCAGAATCCCAGCTACCAGGATGCTTCCCAAATACTTAGAGATGTAGACTAGTTACAGGTGCTCTGGACTCCCTGACCAAGCACTTCTACTTTGGCACTCAGATTGAGGGCTTCTGTTGCTGTATCTAAAAAATATGCAAAGCATCGGTATAAGAGAAGAAAAGGTTTAGCCTAAATTACTTGTTTTCTTTATTCTGAGGAAAGGAGGTAGATAGTCCCCAATTGTTTTTTTCTTTCTGGAAATAATTATTTTGCCTTGAAAGTTAGTAGGTACTTTCAGATCCAGTGAAATTGATTCTATCTTGGTGATAATACTAGGTTTTGTTGTTTCTTTGTTGGTTTTTAATGAACCAAGTGAAGTATCTTTTTTAAAAAAAATATTTTTTTAAAACATATTTTATTGATTTTTCACAGAGAGGAAGGGAGAGGGATAGAGAGCTAGAAACATCGATGAGAGAGAATCATCGACCAGCTGCCTCCTGCACACCTCCCACTAGGGATGTGCCTGCAACCAATGTACATGCCCTTGACTGGAATCGAACCTGGGACCTTTCAGTCCCCAAGCCGACGCTCTATCCATTGAGCCAAACCGGTCTCAGCCCAAGTGGAGTATCTTAAAGAAATGCTGGCCCTTGGCATTTGTATTGAAATGAACTATCAAATAGTTCTGGTTAAAGCTTTCTTTTTGATAAATAGCTTTCAAGTTTTTTGTGCACATTTCCTTTTAAATTACTTGTTTTCTAAGGTTAATTCTTTCAAAATGGGACACAATTTTTAATGTTTTCACTTTTATACAAACTTTAAGTTAGTTTGATAAGCAGATTGGTGTATTTGAGTTTATGAAGTGGGTAAACTTTACTGAATTTTTTGAAAACTGTAAGAAAAGGAATTGAGACTTTGTTCTAAAATGTACATTGACTCTCCCCTTCAGCTGATGTAAGCAACGGCACAGTAAAGAAAGAGTCTTCTAATAAAGAAGTAGCAAGAATATGGATAAATGACATGAAGATGAGGAGTTTTTCCCCGACCATGGTGAGTTTCAAAGCTGTATCTGTATTTTTGTGTCATGTGAAAGACAGTTGCCTAAAAGTGCTCTAGAACAATCCTCAGGAAACTTTTTTTGGGTGAAGGTGGGCTACTCAGCTACATAAACGAATGAAACAGAATTAAACGTCACTGGAAAAAACAAACATACCCTGAATGAGGTGGTAAAAACTTGCATAGTTGATAAGATGGATGTAATGATATATGAAGTACTGACATTTTTTTGTTGTTGTTTGTTTTGTTACTCCTCACCAGAGGATATTTTCTCCATTGAGTTTTGAAGTGGGGTAGAAGGGTGGGAGGGAGAGGGGAAAGGAAAGAATGAAAAAGAGAAACATCAGTGTGAGGGTGACACGTCGATTGGCTGCCTCCTGCATGCACCCCAGTCGGGGCTAGGTATTGAACCTGCAACTGAGATAGAAGTGCCCTTGATCAGAATCAAACCCTTGATCCTTTGGTGTGTGGGCCAACACTCTAACCACTGAACAACACCAGGCAGGACAACATTTTTTATTGTGAATCTCATCTAATCGAGGAAAAAATCCAGGAAAGTATTTGGTAACTGTTCATTTAGGATTGAATATAGCTGTTTGTGAGCTATCAGATCAAATAATGGTCTAGGTATGAATAACTAATTTGATAACCTTTTTCTTACATTTTGGAAATGCTATATGCTTCCAGTGTATAGAGTCCATCAATTCTGAACATTTATGTAAAAACTACGCTACGTATAATATTGAGGATGTGTGGTAGGTTTTTACCAGAAGTGTACGGCATTGCATGGCTCCCCCTTGAATAAACATGCAATGTGACAAACATGTTAACTAACAAGGCACAGCAAAAGGTACATTGTGATGCTCACAACAAGGGTTATGAGTGTGGAGGAAGGTGAGGTCTCCTGGGCGTGGGAAGACTTCATTTTATAAAGAAGGTATAACGGAGCTTGGGTGTTGGGTATGGAAAGACGTCAAGAGGGCATTTTTGGAACGGAGCAAAACTAAAACATTAATAGGCACAGAGGAGATGGTGGCAGCCAAGTGCTTAGGTGACACTAAGCCAAGACATGGCTTGCAGAAGATGGAGTGGTTGATTTGGAGGGTCCCGACTTGATTTGAAGGCCCTTGGTCTTGGTGCAGCAGCTGGAAGTGGAGGGACCTGCTAGTGACTCAGGGTGAGTTTGGGTAGGGAAGAGAGCTGGGGGAGGTTGGTTAAGTAATTCCAACTTGGCATTAGAAAGGATGAGGGGAACGGGAAAAAGGAAAACGGTACAAGACAGCTACACACACAGTATGAGAGGATTGATGGGACTTGGGGATGGAGTAGGAATTAGACGGCATCCCTGCTGTGCCTGAGGCTGTGTGCGGGGGCCTGGAGAACAGGTGCTGGCAGTCTCAGGACTTGATGTTTGTGCATCAACCGCTTACCTAAGCGGATTCTGGAAAGTTAACTGCATTTTTCTCCAAGAAATATATGTAGTTAGTGCTCAGGTTTACAGTCAACCCATGTTTGCCTATAATATGCCTAAGTTTATATTGTGTTGTAGTTTGGGAACATCCAACAGATTGCAAGCTGGTAGCCTATGGACCAAAACCAGTGAATACATGTGTTTTATGTGGCCTCCCCAAGTTTTTGAAAATTAGTGAATTTTTGCTAACACATAAAAATTGTGATTTCTAGGTTCTCTTAAAAAATAGGAGTACCTGAGAACCCCAGGCCTACATTCCTCACCCAGTAAAATGTGCCTGTAGTTGACTAACGGACATTTACTTTGTGTGTTGGGCAGGCATTGCCCAGGTCCCACAGTCTCCGTGGCTCCCGTGTGTCTCCTGTATTCTAAGCTTGGTGGCAGTTGCCATTTTACTAGTATATCCCACTGGCTTAGAAATATTACCTGTGTAGTCCCTGGATTTTGTGACCCTTTGGTATTACCATCTTATCCTCTAATTAAATTTAAGTAGGAGAGCTAAGGTAGAGGGAGACAGAAGGAAGCTGGTCATTTAGCAGAGTATGTATTCCTGTTATAGTTGAGATAAAGTGGAGATGGACGGCCTTAGAATTTTAATTTGCCCAAGGCTACACAAATGAAAGGCAGGTGGAGCCCGGTGGTGGCCCCTTCGTGTGTCAGAGATCAGAGCAGTCACGGATGGTCTGTGCTCATTGGAGAAGCAGGGAAGCCATGAGGAATCCTGATGTCAGAGAATGTGGCAGTGATAGGTCATGTTTCCAGAACCCAAGATGGTGGGTATTCCTGCAGTAGAGTTTTTATGTGTTGGCCAGGCCTCCAGTCTCTCGAATTAGAATTGATTATGCTCTCCTTGTGTTACAGAAGGTTCCTGTTGTAAAAGAGGAAGATGAACCAGAGGAAGAAGATGAAGAAGAAATGGGTCATGCGGAAACCTACGCAGAGTACATGCCAATAAAATGTATGTCTGGGATTTGCCAAAGTAATGAAAGACTCCCAGGTTCCTCTTGAACTTAAAAACTTTCCCACACACGTTATCTATTAGGATTTGTCAGTGTGGGCACCTAAGGATTTGACAAACACCAGCTTTGTAATGTTTTAAACTAGAATATGTTTGAAAATATATACATTTTTACTGTGTTGTTTTTTCTCTCTATACAAAGTTAGAACTTTGTTTTAGGTTGAAGTCTTTTAAAATCAAGAATAAAAACTTTGCCCAGCCAGTGTGGATTAGTGGTCGACCTATGAACCAAGAGGTCATGGTTCGATTCCCTACAAGGGCACATTGATGTTTCTATTTCTCTCTCCCTCTCCCTTCCTCTCTGAAATCAATAAAGATACTTAAAAAAAAAAAAAAAAAGAAAAACAACAACAAAAAAAAGAATAAAAACTTGGGTTTATATTGTTGTTTTATTAAAATATATTTTTATTGATTTCAGAGAGGAAGGGAGAAGAAGAGACATAAACCTCATTGATGAGAGAGAATCACTGATCGGCTGCCTCCTGCATGCCCCCCACTGGGGATCCAGCCAGCAACCCGGGAATGTGCCCTTCCCCCCCCACCAGAATCGAACCCAGGACCCTTCAATCCACAGGCCGACACTATCCACTGAGCCAAACCACTAGGGCCCAACCCTTATCTGAAATTATACTCACTTTATACATTTTGGGGAACTCTTTATTATTTAATTTTCTAGCCAGGGATTTCTTTTGAAATATCTTTCAAGTTAAAATTACATTGCAAACCCTTTCCACTGATTGAAGTGAATGATCCATTCACTTAAACCCCTGAATCTAGGATTATGTTCTGTTACTACTGGAGTACCTGATGTGTGCACTAAGTTTACTTTTCTAAGTCTTTTTAATCAACCAAGTCCCTATTTAAAACAGATAGTTGATAAATTGGTCATTTTAGTCAAACTTAAATACTACTTTCCCATTAGTCAGTGACTCTATATAGTTACTTACTTACATTTCTTTCATAGGTATAATACTGCAATATCTTGTAATATAAATGGAAGTATTATTACCTAGCATGATTAAAATGAAATATTTTTAAATTTTCATTTAGTAAAAATTGGGCTACGTCACCCTGATGCTGTGGTGGAAACTAGTTCTTTATCCAGTGTTACTCCTCCTGATGTTTGGTACAAAGCATCCATTTCTGAAGAAACCATTGACAATGGTTGGTTGTCAGCATTACAACTTGAGGCAATTACATATGCAGCCCAGGTAAGCAGTATTCTTTTATACAGTATTTGTTCTTTTTTAAAAAATATATCTTATTGATTTTTTACAGATAGGAAGGGAGAGTCATAGAAAGTTAGAAACATTGATGAGAGCCGAAACCCATTTGGCTCAGTGGATAGAGCGTCGGACTGCGGACGAGGGTCCCAGGTTCGATTCCGGTCAGGGGCATGTACATTGGTTGTGGGCGCATCTCTTGTAGGGGGTGTGCAGGAGTTTCCTCGATGTTTCCTCTCTGTGGAAAATCAATAAAATATATTTAAAAAAGGAAAGAAAGAAAAAAAAAAGAGAGACATTGATGAGAGAGAAACATCGATCAGCTGCCTCCTGCATACCTCCTACTGAGGATGTGCCTGCAACCAAGGTACATGCCCTTGACCGGAATCAAACCTGGGACCTTTCAGTCTCCGCAGGCCGGTGCTCTATCCACTGAGCCAAACCGGTTAGGGCCAGTACTTATTCTTTAATCTTAGTCTATGTAATGTAGTTGTTTCATTCCAGAGATAAGTTTTCCTTGCATGAAATACTTGTGAATATAATAACTTTATAATAATTTTATGTGTTAGGAAATTAAATGGGTAGCAAAAGTGTGTGGAGTGCATTGCTAGTGAAAATGACAAATGCTATTCCTTTTTGGAATTCAGTGGGAATACGTATTAAAACTGAAAATGCAAATGTCCTTTGACCTAGCGATTGCTGGGGGTCTATCCCATTAAAACCACTGGATAAGAACATACATGACTATTTGTTGCAGCTTTTCTCCTCCGTGGCTGAAAGTTGTGCAGGTGTTGCAAGGGGCATGGAAGAATTCGTGTTACATTGTTATTTTTAGTTATCCTGGTACATGCGAAGGTAGCAAGATTGACTAGATAGTAAATGAAAGTATCCATGCCAAGCCACGCTGTATGCCATTTATATAGACATAGGTCATGTTAATATAACGCTAAAATAATGAAGAAAGACAGATCGCCAAAATATAAAAAGTAGTAATTACTTGCTTTTTTTTTTCCCTCTCAGCAACATGAAACATTCCTACCTAATGGAGATCGTGCGGGCTTCTTAATAGGTGATGGTGCTGGCGTAGGGAAAGGAAGGACAATAGCAGGAATCATCTATGAAAATTATTTGTTGAGCAGAAAACGAGCATTGTGGTAAGTGCTAAACACTGTGGAAGCTTTCCGATGTGGATAGTTACTTCCGCATGGGGGTAGGGATTTAGTGATAGGTATATAGTTTTTGAAGGGTTATAGTCTGGCTTTATTTCTGAAAACTGGCAGAATGGTGGGATTTGTATGTATTTATTTACTTACTATTTATTTATTTTTGTGGCAGGTTCAGTGTTTCTAATGATTTGAAATATGATGCTGAGAGAGATTTGAGGGATATTGGAGCAAAAAACATTTTGGTCCATTCATTAAATAAGGTATGCAAGTTTTCTATTCAGTTGGTCCTTCACTAAATATTGACTCATGTGTGATACGGGAATAATAAGTTTCTTTTTTCAGAGGGTTGTTGTAAGGATTCAGTGAGTTATTTCCTATGAAACCTAGTGAGAGCTGAATTAACTTCTAAAGGGTACAGTGTAATAAAGCTGGGCAGATGGTGTGCCCATCACACCATTTAGGTGATCACTGCATCAGTTGACTGTGTACAGACCTGTGCTCATATTAGGACAGTTCTGTCAAATGGAAGAAAATGTGTCTCAGTGTCTATAGCACAGTCCAATGTGATTAGAATCTTAGGTTTTAGCAAATCTTCATTGTCCTCCATCTCTGCACCAATTGCTCAGTTACAGGATGGAGTAGACAGACCTAATTCCTGCACGCCTCTCCCTGTAGCCCTTTGACAATAAGTACTCATGAGTCTACCTGCCCACGAGGCCCCGGTGGGCTCAGTGTTGTCCTACTCCCAGTGCTTTTCTGGGTGGGCCTTCCTGACTGGATTGGCAGGTAAAGTGCTAGGGCTTGAATGACTACTAACTGTTCAAAACAAAAATATGTCACTGGCACCTAAAATGTTTTTTTTTATTTTTTTATTTCTGAGACAGTGAATTGAAGAAGGGAGCATTAACTATTAATCTCAATTCTTGTATTTCCCTCATTATTTACAGTGATTTCTATATAGTAGTAAGTGCACAATAAATATTTGTAGAATGAATACTGTGACTTTTGTAGGGGAGTTTGATTTGTAATATTTTTTGTGTAATAGACTTTAAAAACTGTACCCTTATAGCATAAAGCTGTGTATACATATATGTGGGTGTGTGTATGTATATACATATGTGTAAGAAATTTTGTGTATGCTCTTAGGAAGTCCTTAACTCCCCTGAAGCCCACTGTGGACCACCAGATAACTATCAAACATGCGGATGGGATTCGTGTTTCAGAGAGAAAAGCGTATTTACTAAATTCTTCTCTTTCTTTTTTAGTTTAAGTATGGAAAAATTTCTTCCAAACATAATGGGAGTGTGAAAAAGGGTGTGATTTTTGCCACCTATTCTTCCCTTATTGGAGAGAGTCAGTCTGGCGGTAAATACAAAACAAGGCTAAAGCAGCTTCTGCATTGGTGTGGTGATGACTTTGATGGCGTGGTATCCTTTGCAACAAGTGTTTTCATATTTTTTAATGGCGCAAAAGTTAATGTAAGGAGGAACATTTGGAAAACAGGAATCCTGAGAAGAAGTAAACAAATTGCTGGGACATCACCTTTAATGATTACCCGGAGTCCAGCATTGCAGTCCCTAGTTAGGAGAGTGATCAGAGGTGTGGGAAATGCTGAATACTGTTTCCCTTTGGGGACCCACATAGAATGTCCACACGGTAAAGTACCTGAGAAGACAGGTGACATTGGTGCCTCCGTGCCTTCCTGACTGATTTGCTCACAGCCCACCTCACTGTCCTAAATGGGGACAGCAGTATTCCACAGCCGACTAAGTGCGTTATTAGTAGTGCTTCTATGGACAGAATTTGACAAAATTATCTGTGTGGTGGACTTACTTGCTGCATGGATCTTTTCCTTCATTCTAATTAACAATTAAGTATCCGGTTAAGTTGAATACCAAATTCAGTGGGTGCTTCTGAGGCCGGAGGGAGGCGTTGAAGTCAAGGAGAGGCACATAGAGGGCTTCATTGAGGTTTGGAATAATGAAAAAAAACAATCTGAACAGGGCAAAATGTTAAGATTGGACAAAGCTGGATGATAGGCATTTAGCTGTTATTTAAAAAACATTACCCAGGAGCTTGTTATCGCCCACATCCTTTCTCCTAATAATCTTGAATTTTACGCCAGGGCCACCACCCTAGAAATTCTGGATTTATCCAAAGGCTCCTGGGAAATAAAAGGTAACTTCCTGGGAGATTGAAGACACATGCTACTAATGTGATACATTCCTTAACTCATTCCTTACAGATAGTGTTTGATGAGTGTCATAAAGCAAAAAACTTATGTCCTGTTGGTTCTTCAAAGCCAACCAAGACAGGCTTAGCAGTTCTAGAGCTTCAGAACAAATTGCCAAAAGCCAGAGTTGTTTATGCTAGTGCCACTGGTGAGTAGCTGTCTATTTAAAAGATAACTGTTGTTTTTTTCAGGTGTAATATTTGATCTTTTTATTTTGGTCTTTTTCAGGTGCTTCCGAACCACGAAACATGGCCTACATGAACCGTCTTGGAATATGGGGTGAAGGAACTCCATTTAGAGAATTCAGTGATTTTATTCAAGCAGTGGAACGGAGGTAATGCAACTTGACAGTGTACACTGTTTGCTCTCAGAAGCAGTCTAAAAGATGTGTATTGCTAAAACCTCTCTCCCATATGTTAAAGCCCTACTATATTTAATGATAGTTACTGTGTGTTTTAATTTTATTCAGAGGTGTTGGTGCCATGGAAATAGTTGCTATGGATATGAAGCTTAGAGGAATGTACATTGCTCGACAGCTGAGCTTTACTGGAGTGACCTTCAAAATTGAGGAAGTTCTTCTTTCTCAGAGCTATGTAAAAATGTACAACAAAGCAGTCAAGCTGGTGAGATATCCCCCCTTAATTTCTAGTATTTTTAATGCACCTGCTAATGTTTCTGTTAGTCAGTTTTGTTCAGTGTAATGTGGGTGAGCCCATGAGAATATATTTCTCCCAGAAAAAAAACACATCACCATATCCTTATTTTCCAATATTCCGAGCCTTCTCTTTCCTAATCTATTATCGATAGAAACAGCCATTTATTTAAATTGCATGGTTTTAAAAATCAGTATAATTATTTCCTACAATACCTTTATCATTTCTTAAGAATTTTGGGACAGCTATGTAAACATTCTAAAAATCCTTTCTAGAGATCCCAAAATTACTGAATATACTTCATTGAATTAATGTTAAATGGTCTTGCTCATAGCATTATTTGATTGAACCAGTTATTTTAAAATAATTTGCACTCAAAGTTGAAATACTTAAAATGTTGGTTGTGCATCTTCAGTGGGTCATTGCAAGAGAGCGGTTTCAGCAAGCTGCGGATCTTATTGATGCTGAGCAGCGCATGAAGAAGTCCATGTGGGGTCAGTTCTGGTCTGCTCACCAGAGGTTTTTCAAATACTTGTGCATAGCATCCAAAGTCAAGAGAGTTGTGCAGCTGGCTCGAGAGGAAATCAAGAATGGAAAAGTAAGTTGGAAAACATATTAAGAGATTTCTTCTTTGGTTATGTGTTTCGCTTTTTTTAAATTAAACCTTTTGAGTGTTGAGGTTTCCTATAAAGCTTGCTCTTTTTAAAGGATAGTAGTAAAGTATTAATACAGCTAAGACTAAAAAGTACAGGTTTTAAAATAACACTAACAACGTGTGGTTATAAAGAATTTAGATAATTCAAAAAATGTAAAGAAATAACCATGACTATAATTTGGCCATCTGTTGATATAACTACTGATATATACTTACTAAGGTTTTTTTCTTTTTGATGAATTTATCTCTACCTAAAGCACAAAGAACTGGGATGGGGCTTCCAGTGTGTCCACTGCTGTATGCTATTATATTTCCTAGCTAAGTTCTATACACGTAGCATCTCTCAAATACATGTAGACTAAATAAATGAGCACATGTGTACAATAATGCTCATTCTTGTTTGAAATATTTTATTATGTAAAATGTCTTTTAAAACCATGTGCTGCATGCTGTTATTTATAATCACTATATTCTCTTTTTCTCCAGTGTGTTGTAATTGGCCTGCAGTCCACAGGAGAAGCCAGAACCTTAGAAGCCTTGGAAGAGGGCGGGGGAGAGCTGAATGATTTTGTTTCAACGGCCAAGTAATTATTTTAGTTTTAATTTTTACTTAGATTGTCAGCCTTTTTCATCTCATTGCACACACAAACTAATGAAAATTCTGTGGCACATCAAAATATATATATATATTTTTTTTTGTGCCAATCTGACCAAAAAAAGGTATAATTTTCATAGATTCATACTGGATGTCTATTGTGTTGGCTGTTGTCATTTTTTTATTTGACAATCTAAGGGAAAAGAGGTCAGTGCCCCTACATTTTAAAAATTGGTATTGGATGTTTTAAATTCTTGCGGCACACTGGTTGAAAATCACTGGCTTAGATTAACTTCATTTTGGCATTTCCTGGAGGTAAAATTTTTGATTCACCTATATCATCTTTTTAAGTTTTCCTGATCTTATTTTTTGCAATTCTTTGTGGATCCGTACATTGTATCTATTGGAAAGCAACAGAAATGCTGAAATGTTAAGCATTTTGACAGCAGTTAATCATACAAGTGTTTGGATGATTAACAAAAGGGCTTGACTTTTGTTTGTTTTGCACCTCTTGGATATGTGAAAGCTGGGTCTAGTTTCTGTTTTACTTTCACATTTGTATATTTGAAATTGCAATTTCAATAAGTATATAAGCAACAAGTATAGTTTGTCCCAGTTTAGAAAGCTCTAATAATTGCAAATAGTCATGAAATTGAAAGTTTTAGAAAAATGTCTTGGCATTGTATTTCATTTTGTTTGCCTATCCCGCCAGCTCCTACTGTGGTAGTAAAATTAGCAAAATGACTTTTGCCACCATACTATCTCTTGCATTAGGGCAGTGATCGGCAAACTCAGTAGTCAACAGAGCCAAATATCAACAATACAACGATTGAAAATTTTTTTTTAAAGATATATTTTTTATTGATTTTTTTACAGAGAGGAAGGAAGAGGGATAGAGAGTTAGAAACATGGATGAAAGAGAAACATTGATCAGCTGCTTCCTGCACAAGCCCTACTTGGGATGTGCCCGCAGTCAGGGTACATGCCCTTGACTGGAATCGAACCTGGGACCCTTGAGTCCACAGGCTGACGGTCTATCTATTGAGCCAAACCGGTTAGGGCTGAAATTTCTTTTGAGAGCCACATTTTTTAAACTTAAACTTCTTCTAACGCTACTTCTTCAAAATAGACTTGCCCAGACCATGGTATTTTGTGGAAGAGCCACACTCAAGGGGCCAAAGATCCGCATGTGGCTCGAGAGCCACAGTTTGCCGACCATAGCTTTAGAGGATACATTCAAATGGCTCCATTTTAAAAAGATATAAATAAAAAACACTTTTAAAAGCAAAATATGCCCTTGCTAATCTGTGTTTTTCTGTGCTTGAGTGCCTAGTACTGCCCTTTCTAAAATGATAGTCACTAGTCATGTGTGGATATTGAGGTGACTTTGCTAGTCCAAATTAAGTTGTGCTGTAAGTATAAAATACACACCAAGTTTCAGAGATTTCAGATAAAATAACAAAATAGTTAATTGATTACATGTTGAAATGATATATAATGAGTTAAAATATATTGTTAAAATTTTACGTTTTCTTTTACTTTTTAATGTAGTAACTGAAAAGTAATTTTTACTTGCATTATATTGCAATTGGATTATATTGTAGTTGGACAGCCTTGGCCTAGAATATTTAAATTCATTTGAGTTGGATTATCAGTATTTTGAAAGATTGAATAAAGCATAATAATTATCAATAAAAAAACAAAACAACCAAACAGCTCATTGTCACTTTCTCTCTCTTCTACAGAGGAGTGTTGCAGTCACTCATCGAAAAACACTTCCCTGCTCCAGACAGGAAAAAGCTTTATAGTTTGCTGGGAATCGATTTGACAGCTCCAAGTAACAACAGTTCACCAAGGGACAGTCCTTGTAAAGAAAATAAAATAAAGAAGCGGAAAGGTGTGTGTGTGTGTGTGTGTGTGTGTGCACGCTGTTGTTTTAAATGTTGGTAAAAATAGTACACATTTGAAGCAGATACATTTTGGGAATTAACTACTTTCATTGAATCAGCAAGTGGCTGCATATTTTCAGTGTCCCTCATGTAGTTTCCAGTGCACAAGAAACCCTTCGGAAATCATGGCTTGAACCATTTGAATAGTGCTGTCATGGCCCGGCTGGCAAGGCTCAGTGGTTGAGCATTGACCTATGAACTAGTAGGTCGTGGTTCAGTTGCCGGTCAGGGCACAGACCCGGGTTGTGGGCTTGATCTCCAGTATGGGGTGTGCAGGAGGCAGCCAATCAGTGATTCTCATCATTGATGTTTCTGTCCATCTCCCTTCCTCTCTGAAATCAATAAAAATTTATTTTTAAAAAATAGTGCTAGCCTGGTATTAAGCACTGGCATCCATATGAAAGCAGTTAGGTTTTCAGTTTTGTAGACAGGAAATTAAGGTACAGGGAGACAAACAGGTTAAGGAGTTTTCTCAGGTTCACAACAGCTAATGGGTGATATATGGGAAGCAGAATCCAGGCCTTTATGTTGTCAAAACTGCACATATGTGTATTTATAGTCTTATTTAAAGAGGCTTCCGTTTATTATTTCATAATTGAAATACATGAGCCAATGTTTGTTAGATATTTTATAGTAATACAAACATGGGTTTGTGTTAAGATGCTTACTAAGTTGTTTGAGACGTTGCCTTCTCAGGCTCTTTATAAACGGTGATGATAACTTACTGTGAAACCTGATGCTGTGAACTCAAAACACAATGCCTGATACTTTAACCTTGTTTCATTCATTCTAAGAAATACATTTTCTAATGTGCTTGAAAGTGGCTTTATTATTATAGTATAAGTGGCAGTGTTTTTATTATCTTAGTGTCATGGCATGAAAAGTAATGCTGTGTCAGATATCTTCTGAATATTGAGTAACATAATTCAAATCAGCACCTTCTGTGGCTTTAAAAGAACATTTTTATCTATTGTTTGTACTGTTGAACCTTGAACAACACAAGAGTTAGCAGCAACTCCCCTCAAGTCAAAAAATCTGTGTGCAACTTTTGACTCCCCCAAAATATAACTACTAACAACCTGTTGTTGACTGTAAGCCTTACCAATGACATGGACAGTCAGTTAACACATATTTTTTGTGTTATATTCTGTGTATTATATACTGTATCTTTATAATAAACTAAGACAGAGAAAAGGAAATGTTTATTAAAATCATTGTAATAATAGCACAGATTGTAATAATAGCACAGTACTTACTGGAAAAGATCAGCACATAAGTGGACTTATGCAGCTCAGACCCATGCTGTCAAGAGTCAGCTGTATTCCAGCAAATTTATATATATATATATATATATATATATATATATATATATATATATATATCTTTATCGATTTCAGAGAGGGAGAGATAAAAACATCAATGATAAGAGAAACACACACACACACACACACACATACACACACCATGAGGGATCAAGCCCACAACCCAGGCATGTGCCCTTGTCCAGAATCAAACCTATGATTCTTGAGTCTGCAGGCCAACACTTTTATCGACTGAGCCAAACTGGCTTGGGCTTTAATATATTTTTTTAAGTATTCTGTAAAACTATGATTATTTAGACTTCTTCTCTCAGCCTGATAAACATTTAAATTTTGACAGCACCAGAGATTCTTTTTTTTATCTCCGTTCTGATTTCATCTGAAACTTGTGCACTTGAAGGCAGTCTTAAGTTTTTACATATGTATGTAATTTTTTTTAAAAGAATAAATTAGATACATAATTGAACATAACCTAATTTCTGTTAGTCCAAAAGGTTAGTGCTTTTTTGTAAATTTTATTTGTTCTTGTATATTTACATAAACACTTCTGTGCTACCGGTCTCATTTGAATGAACTCATGAACTAAATGTAATTTCTTGGATTTTGAGGCCATTGTGTGTGTTAGGCTGACTGTCTTGTCCGGGTTTGAGGGCAGGTGAAGAAATAACTCGAGAAGCCAAGAAAGCACGGAAAGTGGGAGGCCTCACTGGGAGCAGCTCTGACGACAGCGGGAGCGAATCCGAGGCCTCTGATAACGAAGAGAGTGACTATGCGAGTTCCAAGAACCTGAGTTCTGGAGATGACGATGACTTCAACCCGTTCAGAGATGAGTCCAGTGAGGACGATGAGGATGGTGAGTTCATCAGTGTGATAAACGGAAGCTGAGGGGTCATTCCTCTGGGTATTTGACATGGGATATTGTAATAACCAACACCTTTTATCCTCTGTGAAGTAAACACATGACACAGGTTCTAGTTTTGCTTGGTGGAGAGCTCCTCGCCTGTCTGTCATCTGGAGGGTTAGCTCACTTACGTGAGATGATCTTAGTTTGTGCAGTTATTTTAACCTCAAACCGTGGACTGGTGTGTGGATGCACTGGACACTGGAGTTGGAGACTGTTGACAAGTTATCCGCTAACGGCACAAAAAGCTCCATGGCCCTGTGCTTTGAAGATTCCCACTTGTTGTAACAAATTATTTGACACCTATCTTTTCTTAACTTTCAGATCCTTGGTTAATCAGAAAAGACCACAAGAAAAACAAAGATAAAAAAAGAAAGAAAAGTATAGATCCAGATTCTATTCAAAGTGCCTTATTAGCATCAGGTCTTGGATCAAAGCGACCTAGTTTTTCGTCCACACCAGTTATTTCACCCGCTCCTAACAACGCACCAGGTATCCATGTGAAAGCTTTCTTTGTCTGTGAAATGTACTTTTAATTTAAACAAAACAAATGTTTAAACTTTATTGGTTTTTAACAAATGTACTTTATCTAGCTAACAGCAATACCAACAGCAACAGCAGCCTTATAACAAGTCAGGATGCCGTGGAAAGGGCCCAGCAAATGAAGAAAGACCTACTTGATAAACTAGAAAAATTAGCTGAAGACCTCCCTCCTAATACTTTGGATGAGCTGATTGATGAGCTTGGCGGTCCTGAGAATGTTGCTGAGGTATGTAGGATATGAGCAGGGCTGTGTCTCTCCTTGGTAATTTTTTGCCACCTTTAAAACCCTGTAGAATGAGTGATATTTTGGGGATCATCACATAATGATCTGTCTAGTTTCCTTAGATCTTATTCTGTTCTCATCCCAAGCTCCTAGTATCTGACTGTCTGTCCTGAGACACTCCCTTCTGTCCCTGCGCCTCAGGCGGCATCTGATCATTGCCACATGTCTGCTATCTCCACTGGAATCTGAACTTTTCAAAACCAGGGGCTATGTTGCAATGTCTCTCCCACAGTGCCTGGTGCAGCGCAGGCTGTGCAACCCAGGTTGGCTCATCATCCCTTTTGCCTCGCACCAGGTTTCTGCGGGGAAGGAGCCCTGGGTCTGAATCAGGCACCTCGATTGTAAGTGGCAGTTTGTAAGTGGCACGGTTTGTTTGGCTTTTCAGATGACGGGCCGCAAGGGGAGGGTCGTAAGCAACGATGATGGAAGCATATCTTATGAGTCAAGATCTGAACTTGACGTCCCTGTGGAAATATTAAATATCACAGAAAAACAAAGGTTTATGGATGGAGATAAGGTATGTTTTCCTGGGATGCTTTCTTTTTTTTCCTTCCTTTTGTGGGATGCTTTTCAGCGACGAGAATACTGTCCATATAGTTAGACGTTTAGATTAATCTTTTTTTTTTTTGTATATCAGAGGTGGAAATTTATTAAAGAACAAGTACAGACTCCCACAGGGGGAGAGGGATTAATCTTTAGAAGGTTTTTTTCTTTTAATATGAATTGTCACTGTTGAATATTATCCTATTTTTTTTTTTTTTTTTTAGTAATTTTACACAAACATCGAACATTTACATGTTTTATATATTTTAAAAAATATTTTAAAAATTTGTTTCGGAGAGGGAGAGGGAGAGAAATAGAAACATCAGTGATGAGAGAATCATAGAAGGGCTGCCTCCTACACACCCTCTATTGGGGATCAAGCCTGAAATCTGGGCATGTGCCCCGACCGGGAATTGAACTGTGACCTTCGGGTTCATAGGTTGTTGTTCAACCACTAAGCCATACTGGCATGTTCTCAACTTTAAGGACATTTCCTGGACCTTGTTCACATTATCACTGCTTACTGGCTGGAGCATGTCCACACTAAGCTTCAAGGGAGACTGGGAAATGTAATCTTCATTCTGGGCATCCATGCACCTAGCTAAACCTGGGGTTTCTGTAATTTAGGAAGAGGAGAGGTGGTATTGATGGATCCCCAGTAATCTACCTGAGGACTTTATTTACACTTCCCTGCTTGTCTTTGTGCAAGGACTACCTTTTTTCACTCTTATATTTGATACAGAATATTGCTATCATCTCGGAAGCTGCCAGCTCAGGTATTTCATTACAAGCAGATCGGAGAGCCAAGAATCAACGACGGCGAGTTCACATGACTTTGGAGTTGCCCTGGAGTGCAGACAGAGCCATTCAGCAGTTTGGTAAGGGACATCTTAAACTCCACATATGTAGATTTTGGAAGTGTTGTGTGTAGCATGTACCTTATGTACTGCATCATGAATTTATGCTTGTTTTACTTATTTAATATTTTTTCTTTCATACCTGTTTTAAAAGATGAAAAAAGCGCTGAAATCAATTTGGCTAAGTAGATATAGCATCAGCCTGTAGACTGAGGGGTCCCGCATTCAATTCCGGTCAAGGGCATGTACCTTGGTTGTGGACACATCCCCAGTGGGGGGGGGTGCAAGAGGCAGCTGATAGGTATTTCTCTCTCATTCATGTTTCTAACTTTCTATCCCTCTAACTTCCTCTCTGTAAAAAATCAATAAACATAAAAAATAAAAAATAAAAAGATAAAAGATCTGCAGTGGGGCTTCATTGGGCTTGTGGCATTCTCTTCCAGAACAGGGTTTCTCAGGGGTGTCTTCATTACAGACCTTTTGGTCAGGGCATGTCAGAGCAGTTGCTGCTCATGTTCCTTTTCAATCCCCACAGCCCTTCACTCAGGCACATCGCTCCTCCCCTCCTTCCATCTTCACGTCCCTGGGACCCGGTGATTATAAACAAGAATCTGGGCAGAATCCAGAGCAGCTGTGCATCAGCAACATTGTGGTTAACCAAACTGGGGTAGCAATAGTGATATGTTTCACATTTAACAGTTCTATATTTTCCCTCTTGTTTCAGGGTTTCTGAATTGCATCTTAGTGTTAAATGTTAGGAATAGATCTCAGAATTCTCTGTTTCTAGTGAATACAATCTGATTTATTTTTTTAATGTGGTTACAGGACGAACGCATAGATCAAACCAAGTTACTGCACCTGAATATGTCTTTCTAATTTCTGAATTGGCGGGAGAACAAAGATTTGCATCTATTGTTGCTAAAAGACTTGAGAGTTTGGTAAGTTTAGGAATTGTATAGATGTATGTAAAGTCTGGTGTATGTTACCTGTCTGATTGGAAATTTTGTTTTGATAGGGGGCACTTACACATGGTGACAGAAGAGCAACAGAATCCAGAGATTTGAGCAGGTTCAACTTTGACAATAAGGTACATTTCAGATTCCATCTCTGGTCTCGCAGTAGTGTGCTGGGTTCTCGGAAGGTCGGGGCTGTTAAACCTAGCAGTGCTACCGCTCCGTGTTTTGTTGTAAAATCATGGTTTCCCATAGGCAGGAAGACAAGATTTCACAGATCTTCAGTGATCAGCTCTGCAATATAGTTATCTTTTTATTCCTCTTGAAAATAGGACTGTAACACATGTTTGTGAATGAATGAGATGTAAGTTCCCAGAAGTTCTTGATTGAATGTCTGCTATGTGAAGTAGGCATTAGGCAGTGCAGAATATATACAAAGATAATTTATTTCTGCTGTTTTTGATTCTGTGATATAATTATCATTTTTATAGTATTGACTTGGTAATGTGACTAAAAAGTACCCAAATGTTAAAATTGGTTTGTTTATTTGTTTTATTGCAGTACGGAAGAAATGCATTAGAAATTGTCATGAAATCCATTGTAAACCTAGATTCTCCTATGGTATCACCACCTCCAGACTACCCTGGAGAATTCTTCAAAGGTAAATTTTAAGAATAATCATAACAAAGGAAAATGAGTACTGATGAGGTACTCAAACCTGTCCTAACGTGCAGGGTTGTTTTTACTTTTTATAAAACTTAGAAATTGAAAGTTATTAGACACCTAAGTTGATCAATTGTAATAAGCAGTCGATTTATTAAATTTTATTCAAGTGAAGATGTTTTTGTTCTTGATAATGTACGGTGTGTTACTACTAGATTGATGGAGGAAAGTGTTTTAGGTTCTTTTGAAATCACTACGTCCTATAGCTTTTATAATTAAATTTGAAAGTTAAAGTACCTTGATTAATAATCTGTGGAGATTGGTGGGGGGGTAGATAAAATTGGCCATGTGTTAACAGTTGTTAAAATGGGGTAATGAGAATGTGTGTGGTCACAGCATTTTCTTTACATATATATGTGTTTGGAAATGTTCATCCTTATATAATAAAAAGCTAATATGCAAATAGACCGAATGGCGGAACAACCAGTCACTATGATGTGTACTGACCACCAGGGGGTAGACGCTGAATGCAGGAGCTGCCCCCTGGTGGTCACTGTGCTCCCACATGGGTAGCTACGCTCAGCCAGAAGCCAGGCTCATGGCTGGTGAGTGCAGTGGTGGTGGCAGGAGCCTCTCCTGTCTTTGCTGCAGGTGGACTGTAAGGAGCAAGGGGTCTAGGCTGTGAGAGGTTGTAGGCCGGGCTGAGGGACACACACACACACACACACACCAGTGCACAAATGTTGTACAGTGGGCCTCTAATCCTATATAATAATAAAGAGATAATATACAAATGGTCATTATGCCCTTTGCCAGGGCCAGGGCACCTGAAGCCATGCCCCCCAGGGCTAGGGCCAGGGGACCTGAGGCTGGACCCCCTGCCCTGTGAGGCGTGATGGGAGGGACTGGCTGGGGTTGGGTCTTATAAGATTTCAAGGCGCAAGTGGTTCGGCGGGGACTTGACTTTGTGTCCCGTGGTGCACCCCAGACTCTTGACAGGGGAGATTTTTATATACATTTTACTAATTTTTAAAAAAATCTATTTTAGCCGAAACCGGTTTGGCTCAGTGGATAGAGCGTCGGCCTGTGGACTGAAAGGTCCCGGGTTCGATTCCGGTCAAGGGCATGTACCTTGGTTGCAGCTAACTCTCTGTCCCTCTCTCCCTTAAAATATATTTTATTGATTTTTTACAGAGAGGAAGTTAGAGGGACAAAGAGTTAGAAACATCGATGAGAGAGAGTCATCGATCAGCTGCCTCTTGCACACCCTCCACTGGGGGGATGTGTCCGCAGGCCGATGCTCTATCCACTGAGCCAAACTGGTTTCGGCTAATTAATTCCCTTTTGATGTGCACGAATTTCATGCAACGGGCCACTAATATTAAATAAAAGAAAATTCTAGGTAGTGTTAAGGAAATTCTTAGATCTATCTCTCAGATCTGTAGTATAGACTCTACCCCATAAATGTAAGTAGTCCAGATGGATTCATTAGCTCAGGAAACGAAGAATATATTTTGGAAAATAGATGTAAGAAGTAGCTGTAAGATAGTTGATGTATCATTGTAGAGTTAGAGTTTTCACTGGAAGGGCATTTCCAGTTCTATAGTCTTTGCCTTGTTGTCTCTCTTCCTCTCCCCTTCTCATTAAATTTACATGTTACTTACTCGTTGTAAGTAAGGAAAGAAACCTAAAGTATATGGTGAGGAGTCAGTCTTGACTTAACTCCCACCTTCATTTCCACCACCAAGGTTACAGATGTTGACAATCTAAACAGTGACAGCCTTCTAGCATATTTCCTCCATTTTCATCTAAATACATCTTATCTTTTAAATGCACTTAATACTGCTTTTACAAAGTACTTCTCACTTAATACCTTACTGACATTTCTTACAAGCCAGTAACTATAACAATAAAACTTTTTTAGGAGCTTCATAATGATCTTTAGTACTTTTTTAGTAGCTAGCTCATATAAGTTTCTCTAGTTATTTAATAACTGGCATTTAGTAGGCTTTCCTGTTTTTGCCATTACAGACAGTGCTGGGATTATATCCTTTTGGTCAGGGTGTAGCAAAAGTAGGTTTACAGTTGTGAGTACTTAATTTTTGTATTTAATATGATTTCTCATAGGAACAACTGTAAGCCTACATTTGCCCCCCCATACAAGTAATTTATGGGGATAGGAAGGGTTCCCAAAGGAGACGTTTTTGCAGTAGAGGTCATTGGCCACACAGTTGTCATTTGCAGAATCTAGACAGTTTTGACCATGCAGAATGAAGTGTGTAAACAATGTTATCATGCTTCCTGTTGACCTTTCCCTCACTTCTTTATTCTGTAAGACATCAGTGTTTCCTAAAGGTCCATAAACTGCTCTCTTAGTAACAAAATTCAGAACATGCTTACTATTACAGATGTTGTTTTTTGTTGCAAATTCTATGGGTGACAGCTGTAGTCAAAGATATCCACTGCCAAAGATTACTGTTGGGAAGATGAGGTTTTAAAATTTTTATTTTAGAGAGAGAAACATCGATTTTTTTGTTATTTTAAAAAATATATATTTTATTGATTTTTCACAGAGAGGAAGAGAGAGGGACAGAGAGTTAGAAACATCGATGAGAGAGAATCATCAACCAGCTGCCTCCTGCACACCCCTACTGGGGATGTGCCCACAACCAAGGTACATGCTCTTGACCGGAATCGAACCCGGGACCTTTCAGTCCGAAGGTCGACGCTCTATCCACTGAGCCAAACCAGTCTCGGCGAAACATGATTTTTTTATTCCACTTATTTATATATTCATTGGTTGACTCTTGTATTTATGTGACCTGACCAGGAATTGAATCAGCAACCTTGGTGTATCAGGATGATGCTCTAATCAACTCAGCCAGGGCCATAAGATATTAAATGAAATATTAAACTACAGTGTGAGGCTTATGTACTGTAGGAGTTCTGAGTGTCTAAAGACTTTTGGTCCTGTTGATTCCATTTAATTTGGCTAATAGGAACTGTGGAAGATACATAGTTTCTGTCTTAGTGTTAGAACTTGATCTAATTTGATTAGGCACGTGACGGTTCATTTGGGTTTTGAGATTTTTTATTAATTTATTTTTTTACAGATGTTCGGCAAGGACTGATAGGGGTTGGCCTGATAAATGTAGAAGATCGCTCAGGAATTCTAACTCTAGATAAAGGTACTGGTATTAGTTTTATATATACACATAGCTGTTGCTGTTTTAGTAAAGCCCATTTTGTTATTTATGCCTTTATCAACTCCAAGGGGGAGGTTCAAGTTTGTAATTTTTAAAAATACATATATATTTTATTGATTTTTTTACAGAGAGGAAGGGAGAGAGACAGAGAGCCAGAAACATCGATGAGAGAGAACCATCGACCAGCTGCCTCCCACATAACCCCCACCGGGGATGTGCCCACAACCAATGTACATGCCCCTGACCAGAATCAAACCTGGGACCTCTCAGTCCACAGACCAACGCTCTATCCACTGAGCCAAACCGGCTTCTGCTCAAGTTTGTAAATTTTTTTTCTCTCAATATTTTATTGGTTTTTTTACAGAGAGGAAGGGAAGAGGGATAGAGAGTTAGAAACATTGATGAGAATCATCAATCAGCTGCCTCTTGCTGGGGATGCTCACAAAGCACTCTGGGTGGTCTTTTTCTTCTCTGGTTACTCAAAAGAGGTTCAACTTCTGTCTCAATAGCAGCAACTCTCATCCCAGGTTGTACATATGATCAGCTGCCAAGTTCTTAAAAAATACTGAAGTCAGGGCTAGAGCTCAGACATGGTTACCTTCCAGAGAGGAAGGGACAAAGCTCTGAGACATCCTAATTGTGCAGCCAAAGTTGAGCTTCACTGACGTCTGACACTTAACACTTGACTAGTTGAGACTTGATGTTGGAGAATGAACGTTTTCGTGCTAAATTATGTTCATACTTTTATTTTTTTTTTAAATATATATGTTATTGATTTTTTACAGAGAGGAAGGGAGAGAGATAGAGAGTTAGAAACATAGATGAGAGAGAGTCATTGATCAGCTGCCCACAACCAAGGTACATGCCCTTGACCGGAATCGAACCCAGGACCCTTCAGTCCCTAAGCCGACGCTCTATCCATTGAGCCAAACCGATCCCGGCTGTTCATACTTTTAATAAGTGAAGTTGAAGATGCAAAATTCAGTTCAGCAAACATCCTTTTATCATGGGCTATGGCCATGCTAATTGCTTGAGGTAGAAATTGACTGATTGAAGCTGTTTGGGGAACAGTGCAGGAAGTATGATGAAAACTTTAGAGGAGAAAGCGAGACTTTGAACTAAGCTTACATGAACAAATTTTTAAATTGCCAATTTTGTGCATTAAATTGGTTCCTATAATCTTGTCATTGCAGATTATAACAACATTGGGAAATTCCTGAATAGAATTTTGGGTATGGAGGTGCACCAACAGAATGCGTTATTTCAGTATTTTGCAGACACACTCACTGCAGTTGTTCAAAATGCCAAAAAAAATGGAAGATATGATATGGGAATCTTAGGTAAGTGGGGATTTTTTTTAATTGATTTTTCGGGAGGGTTAAGGAGAAGGAGAGAGGAACATCGATTGGCTGTCTCTTACACATCCCCTACCAGGGATTGAACCCACAACCCAGGCATGTGCCCTGACTGGAAACCAAACCTTTTGGTTCACAGGACGGTGCCCAACCAACTGAGCCACACCAGCCAGAGAAAGCAGTGGGAAAAATTTTAAACGTGTATTCCTGATAAAATGTTCTTTTTACATTTATATGCTGCTTTCTTCTTATTTAAGATCTGGGTTCTGGAGATGAGAAAGTGAGGAAAAGTGACGTTAAGAAGTTTCTGACTCCAGGATATTCAACCTCTGGTCATGTAGAGTTATATACAGTAAGTCTGGCAGTCATGTGACACTAGTGTGCTGTCCTGTGATAGGCACTCACCAAAGTGACTCTAATTTAACTGTTATTGTTTCTCTTATAGATTAGTGTAGAGAGAGGGATGTCCTGGGAGGAAGCTACCAAGATTTGGGCTGAGCTCACAGGACCAGATGATGGCTTTTACTTGTCACTGCAGGTAAGACTTGTTTTTTATTTTATTTAATTTTATTTATTTACTTTTTTAAATTTATATTTCAGAAAGGAAGGGTGAGAGAGAGTGAAACATCAATGATGAGAGAGAATCATTGATTGCCTCCTGCATACCCCACATTGGGGGATCGAGCCCATAACCTGGGCATATGCCCCAACCTCCTGGTTCATGGTGTGATGCTCAACCACTGAGACACGTTGGCAAGATTCGTTTATTTTTATTTTATATATATATATATATCTCTTTTATTGATTTTTTTCAGAGAGGAAGGGAGAGAGATAGAGAGCTAGAAACGTTGATGAGAGAGAAACATTAACCAGCTGCCTCTTGCACACCCCCTATTGGGGATGTGCCCGCAATCAAGGTAGATGCCCTTGACCGGAATCGAACCCTGGATCTTTCAGTCTGCAGACCGATGCTCTACCACTGAGCCAAACCGGTTTCGGCAAGACTCGTTTCCTTTATTTATTTATTTATTTATTTATTTATTTATTTATTTATTTCCAATCAACAAAAGAGAAACTTTATTGAGGTCCTAGCATCACAGGGTTCAGATAGAAGGCTGCCCTGTGGACCCAAGGAGTTGGGGAGGGGCCTTATTTAACCTTCTTCTTGGGGCGCAGGTTGTTGGTGTGGCCACACTTCTTCTTGGGGCAGTTGACAGCACAGGGGTGCAGGCGGGCGTAGCATTTGCGGCAGATCATCTTGTCGCAGTTGTACTTTTGCGCGAGCTGGCGGAGGGAGGGTTCGATGATGCCACCCCTCAGACGAAGCACCAAGTGCAGGGTGGACTCTTTCTGAATGTTGTAGTCTGAGAGAGTGCGACCATCCTCTAGTTGTTTGCCCGCAAAAATCAGAAGCTGCTGGTCAGGTGGGATGCCCTCCTTGTCTTGGATTTTAGCTTTGACATTCTCAATGGTGTCACTGGGCTCAACCTCAAGGGTGATGGTCTTGCCAGTCAGGGTCTTCACAAAGATCTGCATTTCTGTGTCTGCTGGGGAGGCTGCTCCGCCACCTCGTTGACAAGACTCGTTTCCTTTAGATGCGAACTATCTAGATATGTGTTTTCATTACCAGCATTATGATTCTCATCTTGCCTTTGAGCATATTTCCCAATTATATTTAGCCTTCTCTGATTGATAATTTATCACTGTAATTGTGGGTTTTTTATTTATGTACAATTTAGTATATTGAATAGATGTTATTAGATGCAATTTTAAATTTTATTTTATTGATTTGAGAGTGAGAGAGACATTGACTTGTTCCACTCGTTTATGCATTCATTAGTTGATTCTTGTATTTGCCCTGACAAGGAATCAAACACCCAATACACTAACCAACTGAGCTATTCTAGGCCAAGGCAGATTTTGCCTTTTTCTAATACCTTCTATCTTTCCCTTTTTTTTTTTTTTTTAACAGTTTTTTTTTTAAATACTAGTTATCCTGAGCGTGAATTGGTGCACAGGTTGGGTCTCTTGGCCTGGCGGCTGTCAGGTCCTATGGGGGCCGGCAGGGCTGGGAGGGACTGAGGGAGAGCTCCAGGGCATGTCCAGCCCTCTCACCCAGTCCCTATTGGCTGGACCCCAGCAGCAAGCTAACCTACCGTTCAGAGCACCTGCCCCCTGGTGGTCAGTGCGCATCATAGCCAGTAGTTGAGTAGTCAACTGAATGGTTGACCAATCAATCGGACACTTAGTATATTATGCTTTATTATATAGAATAATTCATATACCATACAATTTATCCACATAAGTGTTTATATAACAAAATTTGCTACGTTAACCATATTTAAGTGTATAATTGAGTGGCATTAATTTTATTCACAATGCTGTACAGCCATCACCATTATTTCCAAAGCCCTTTCATCATCCCAAATAGTAACTATAAGCGTTAAACTAGCCGAAACCTGTTTGGTTCAGTGGATAGAGTGTCAGCCTGCGGACTCAAGGGTCCCAGGTTCGATTCCAGTCAAGGGCATGTACCTTGGTTGCGGGCACATCCCCAGTAGGGGATGTGCAAGAGGCAGCTGATCGATGATTCTCTCTCATCAATGTTTCTGACTCTATCCCTCTCTCTCCCTCTCTGTAAAAAAATCAATTAAAAAAAAAAAAAAAAGCATTAAACTATAACTCCCATTTCTCCTTCCCATAGCGCCTGGTAGCCTCTAGTCTGTTTTCTGTCTCTGCATTTTCATATCTAAGTGGAAGCATTCTTTGTCCTCGACATGTTTTTAGGTTCATCTGTGCTGTGGCCTGTTTCAGAACACCCTTGCTTTTTGTAGTGGAATTGTATTCCACGGGGTGGGTTTACCACTTTTGCTTTTTATTTGTAAACTAGAGGTCCTTTACATGGATTCATGCATATTGAAAGGACATTAATTAGAAGGTGGCCATTGGGCAGGACTGGGCGAGATGGGCCAGATACACCCTGGAGCCAACCTCCCGCTGTCCCTCTCTGGCAAGCTGCACCTGGGCGGTTCTGGGGCTCGAAAGGGTCTGCAGAGTGAGCAGGGTTCCTCCGACAGGTGGGTCCCCCCACCTGGCCTGTAGGGATTGGGCCAAAGCCGGCAGTCCAATATCCCCTGAGAGGCCCCAGAGTGGGAGAGGGCACGCTGCAAAAGTTGCTGTTGCTTGGCAGCTCCTGTGTTGAGTGTCTGCCCCCTGGTGGTCATTGCACATCATACTTATCGACTCATCACTTAGCCTTTTATATATATATATATATATATATATATATATATATATATATATATATATTGATGTTTATGGAGTGATTGACTGTCAGTGACGCCTGGTTCAAGATGCAGCTGTGTGCAGTGGAGTGTCTGTGATGCTGCAGGCAGTGCCAGACATGGACACTAGCTAAGCAGGAGTCCTGCTTGCCTTCTGTAAAGGGGCAGAGAGTAAATATTGCAGGTTTTGCAGGCTATATATCATCTCTGTTTTGGCTTTTCCTCCTTTATCCCTACCTCCCTTCCCTCCTACCACTGTTAAACTTGGGAGCTGCAGGCCACACTTGGTCCACAAGTCTGGTTTACTGATCCCTGATCCAAGAGCAAAAGCTCTCAAATTGGATCTGGCTCCTTGTTTATTTGTTTGCTTATTTGAAAACCTTACTTAGATCATTATAAATTCCCATGAGATTATAAGAAAGAATACAGAGAAACTTCTTGTACACCAGTTTCCCTAATGGTAACAGTTTTCAGAATTATAATTAATATCACAACCACGATATCAATACAGTAACCAGGTTTTATCCATATTTCTCCCTTAGATAGATTTTGCTTAGTCCACAAAGGGTATTGCTTATTGTTTTTCATTTTAAATTACTGCCAGAATTTAGAATACTGGGCTACAGTACAGTGAACTTAACTTGACTCTACCAAGTCAGATCACACTGTTATTTGCTTGAAACATTGTACTTTCATAAGTTTATCAAGTGTTTTACTTCAACTGATTAAAAAAATTTGAAAATGTAATTCTCACTTTAACCATTGTTTCATTGACTTTGCAGAATTATATAAACAATGTTTCAAATCATTTGAGCCAATAAAAGACAAAGGATCTTTAATATCCATGAAAAGTAAAATGTTGTCTTTTTATCAGGGTAAGAAGTAACTGTTGTAGAGCAGCTAGTGAAATGTCTCCACTTTGAAACTGTTCTTTTTCTTTCAATTTTCTGTCATAGATTATTGCTTAGTCATCATTAACCATTCTTAAAGCAGCGGTCCCCAATCGGTGGTCTGAGGACCTCTGGTGGTCTATGAGGTCTGAAAGGTTGGTGCCCGGTGCTTTAAAGGAGATATTAATTTTCCAATCTTACTTTTCCCTTAATTAAATGGGGCTTCTTATAACTCCTTTTTCCTAGGATTTCTCTCATAATTCTGACTTTAAAAAATTTATGTAAGTACTGTCATTTGTCAGGTGCATTCTTTCCCTCCACTTCTACATACGTAGTTATGTGGTTCTTGTTCACTGGATCTCCTGGGGCAGCATGGGGTAGGTGGCACCGAAGGATGAAATGAACTCAGAGGCCTGTGGGTAATCAAAATCATTATCTTTGAGGTTATGTTTTATTGTAACTTGAAGGAGGGTGACATTTTTTACAGCATTTGACTATGAAAAGTTTTAGCCATATGGCAGAGGTAACAGAATTTTCCCGTGAAGTCCCTTCGTGCCCACTCCCTTGACCTCTGCCCCACTTGTCTCTAGGCTGTTTGGGTTCTGAGTCAGGTATGTGGACTGGAACTTGTGAAGTGTCTCCATTGGACATTTATGCTTTTAATGCTAATTCAAAACCATTTTCTAAGGAAAGTCTTCAGCCTCCAAAGAATTCAGGTCCCCGAGCCCTCTTTTTTTGGAGGGACTGTGTGAAACTGTCCTGCAGCGTGTCATCCTTCTCCGTTTCCTGTGTTTGCTTTGCTGTGGTCCAGGGATTCCACTTGCCACTGTGATGGCACCAACCTCTAGTGTGGCTCAGAGTGAGCAGTCACCAGTCTTTGTGTTTCCCCACTTTCTTAATAGATAAGGAACAACAAGAAGACTGCCATCTTAGTTAAAGAAGTGAACCCAAAAAAGAAGCTTTTCTTAGTCTACAGACCAAATACTGGGAAACAACTCAAATTAGAAATTTATGCTGATTTAAAGAAGAAATATAAGAAGGTATTTTTTTTTCATTTGTACACAATGCTATTTATAAATAACTTGTTTTATAGTAAGATTGAAAGTATGTTTATACCCAGTTTTGATGTTATCTGCTATTAAGAAACCTGTAAGGTGATGATTTAAAATAGCTTGTGTTGTTAGGAAAAAAGCTTTCAGTGAAACTAGAAGTTTTTAAATAAAGGGAAGATGTGCAAGACTGAAATTCCTTCCCACCAACTCTGGCTTCATTAGGAGCTGCTGTTTATATTTTGCAGTGATTTCTAGAAAAACAGTGAATGACTATGTTTTTCCTAACATCATTATTACTAGGGGCCCAGTGCACGAATCCGTATACCTTGAAAGGAACTGTGGGCCATGAGGCTGCAGTGGGAACAGAGGCGGGTCTCCCACCGCAGCCCTGGTCCTCTGTCTGCCCGCAGCCCCGCTCACACTGCCGCCACTCCCACATGAGAAGGCGCCAGCCCCGCTTGCACCTGCTGATTTGGGAGTGATTTGGGCTGGGCTCAGCGGGTGCAAGCAGCTGCCGCCACCCCAATTGCCCCTCAGGGTCAGCAGCCACCACTCGCACTTGCTGATGGCACCAAGCGATTGGGACTAGCACCAGGCACCGGGCACCAGCAGCTGGTGCGAGCACTGGTTAGGACCATGGCACACAGGAGCAGGGAATTTTCAGTAACCACCAGAGGCTCGCCCCGATGACAGTGACCAGCGCCTGCCTTGGTCTGGCTCCCCCACTCACCTGCTCCATCGGCACACTGCCGCCGATGCCCGCCAGGTTCTGTGCACGCCCTCTGGTGGCCAGCGCACATCATAGTGATGTTCAGTTGTTCCAGTTGTTATGCTGTTCTATCTATTTAGTCTGTTCCATCATATTAATATGTTCCATCATATTAGTCTTTTATTATATAGTATAGGGTTATTACTTTAAACTTTTATTCTCTTGTCCATTGTCACTTGAAAACAATCTTCTATAATAATGAAAGCGTAATATGCTAATTAGACCGGACAGCTGAACAACCTTCCAGATGAAGCTGGGGGCTGCGAGGACGGAGCCCCTCGCACAAAGTTTGTGCATCGGGCCTCTAGTTATAACTAAGCCATTTGAAACTGTGTTACATCGGAAGGTCCTCATGGCAGAAGTTGATAATGTCCCTCAGGTGCAGCCTGTAGCAAAGGGCAGGTCTTCTGTATAGAAGTCATCTTAAGTTGGCTTTACAGACCAGATTAGGCAACCAGTTTGTGTACAACAATTCTTTCCAACAGACTTTTTGTCTTACTTTCAACAGGTCGTCTCGGATGATGCCCTGGTTCACTGGTTAGATCAGTATAATTCATCTGCAGACACTTGTACTCATGCTTATTGGTCAGTATTTCGTGTTTCTCATGACATTCTTCAATGCCATCAAGATTTAATTAAACATGCCTTTACTTTAGTGCTGTCTATAAATATATGAGCACATTGTTTGCTGTTTGGTGTGGCGCTCTCAGTCGGCAATGCTTATGGGGGGGGGTGTATGGTTGATTTTTCTTTTTTTTAATGGTTTAAAATATTACATATGCCCCTTATTCCCCAGTTGACCCTCCCCTGGTTAATTCTTTTATGTGCCCTGACCTGTAGCCTTGGCGATTAGCATGATCTCCAGTAGGGGGTGTGCAAGAGGCAGCTGAATGGATTTTTCTCTCTCATGGATGTTTCTAACTCTATCCCTCTCCTTTTCTCTCTGTAAAAAATCAATAAAATATATTTTTAAAATAAAAAATAAATATATTTGTTTTGATTTTAGAGAGAAACATCAATGATGAGAATCATTGGCTGCCTTGCATGCCCCCTACTGGGGATCAAACCTGCAACCTGTGCATGTGCCCGGACTGGGAATTGAACTGTGACCTCCTGGTTCATAGGTCGATGCTCAATCACTGTGTCACACCAACCAGGCAACAGTATTTTTGTTTTTGTTTTGAGAATAAATTAGTGGTATTAGAAATTCTCTTAGGAAAACTTAAGATAAAATATATTAAATATTAGCCTACAAAAATCCTTTCAAACATTTGCTTTGAGTTTTAGCAAGAAAAGTGTCCCAATACTGTATATTCATCTTGAATTAATACTGGAAAGATATATATTTTTTTAAATATATTTTGATTTTTTTTACAGAGAGGAAGAGAGAGGGATAGAGAGTTAGAAACATCAATGAGAGAGAATCATCTACCAGCTGCCTCTTGCACACCCCCTACTGGGGATGTGCCTGCAATCAAGGTACATGCCCTTGATGGGAATCAAACCCGGGACCTTTCAGTCCGCAGACCGACTCTCTATCCGCTGAGCCAAACGGGTTTCGGCTGGAAAGATATTTTTATCAAATTGTGAAAGTAATTCTTGTATGTCTTTTTTTCATAGCTTTTAAAATAAATCTATGTTTTTATTTTGTTTGCTGAGGCCTTTTCCACTTACCCGAAATACTATAGAAATAACTGGCTGGATTATTTTATAAGCTTGCATTAATATAGTAATATCCAAAGTAAACTAATGGATAGAAAATGACAAATGCTTAAGTGGCTATAAAACCAGTAAATCAGCCATTGTATAGGGAGTTAGGTCCCAGAAATAACTAATGTTAAAAATCAGTAGTGATAGTTCACATTGGAAAGACAATTCAGTATGTTGAAAGGATTATACTCTAAGGAACTGCCAGTAAAGGCAAGGTATTTTCCACTTGAAATTTGGGTAGACCTTGCTAGCCTTTTGTTTGAGTATGTGTTCATAAATATCTCCCCTCTCCCTCTCTCTTAGGCGTGGCAATTGTAAAAAAGCAAGCTTGGGATTAGTTTGTGAAATAGGTCTTCGTTGCCGCACGTATTATGTATTATGTGGCTCAGTACTGAGCGTCTGGACAAAAGTTGAGGGTGTTCTAGCATCTGTCAGTGGCACAAACGTGAAAATGCAGATAGTTCGGCTGAGAACAGAGGATGGACAGCGGATTGTAGGTGAGTGTTTTTTGTGTGTTTTTGTTTGAGTTCGGGGGAAAGACTTTATTCTGCTTTTTACACCTTAGAATCTCACCATCTCTTCTTATAATGGGGCGGAACTTGCTCTATGTGTTCTTAAAGAGTGAACAGAAGTTATACCTTTGAATGCACATTGCTGATTCTGGTTAAAGTTCTGGCATGATCTTTTATTTTATGCTGCTCTTGCTCTCCCCCTCCTCCTCTTCACTGGCCGTCTGGGCAGGTTCCCAGCCTCTTGGCCCAGCGTTGTCTGAAGTCACCCTGTCACGTTTACCATGAAGGCTGAGATGATGGCACTCAGAGCCACTGCCCAGAGGGTGGGTGGGTTCCTGCAGGCCTGGGCTAGCTGATGCCACCACGTGCTCTGTCCCAGGCTCTCCGGGGATTCCCCCAGTTCTTCCCCTTTCCCGCTCCTTGGTCTCTGTGTTACTTGCAGGAACCTTCCTCTCTGCAGATGGGTGGTTGCCTGTGGCCAAAGGCAATCTGTGAACATTTTTTTTCACAAAGTATTTTTGGTTGCAAGTTTTCATTTATTTGAATTAGTTGCCAAAATGTAAATTCCAAAAGCCTGGATTTTCATCTTTTCAAAACACACAGCAGCTCCTCTGGAGTATTGAGCCCTCCCGCTCCCACCATGGAGAAGTCTCTAGAGTTTTCTTACCAGGGCCTCTGCTGCCCAGTCTGCATGCACCTGCTGCTTCAGTCAGCATTTGAGTTTGTGACCACAATTCTGTAGTCTTTTGGTTGCATTAGTACCTGCCCAGGAAGGCGATGATTGGGAGCTGAGAAAGATAAGAGAGAGGAAGGTCCGGTACTTCACGGTCTGTTCTTCCCCCAAAGAGACAGTGTGCCGTGAAGACCGTGTATATGCCCAGGTGTTTGTGGGTATCACTGCCGAGGAATCAGGTTTCTCTGAAAGAGCCATTTTGGTTGTTAGGTATTTGTTTAGGTTTTGTGTGGAGTGATGTTTGTTACACTTAATATTATGCCTCACTTGGAATTTGCTGTGCAGTGTAAAATACTGTGTGGTTGCTCCTGAATGCAACCTTTAAAAATTCTTGTTTCTAATGGCAGGTCTGATCATCCCTGCAAATTGTGTGGCTCCTCTTGTAAATCTCCTGTCAACTTCAGACCAGTCTCAACAGCTTGCGGTCCAACAGAAACAGCTCTGGCAGCAGCGCCACCCCCAGAGCATTGCCAGCTTGAGCAACGCATAAGAACAGACAGGTTTCAACATGGATGTATCTGAAATGCTGTTGAAGCATATCATTTGCATAAAAATCAGGGACAGTTTCCAAAGAATTATAATTTTTTTCAGTTGTGCTCTCTCTAGTTAATTTTTTTGGGAATAAGGACAGACCTGGAATAGATAGCAAAACTGAAAATCAACAGTGCCGATGGTGGTACATGTGTCTTTCCTTTTGCTTTGCCCATGGTACTTCCCATATGCTCCTACTTTGGGGAGCAGAGGGGTGTGAGCGCGTGCGTGTGTCCGTCTGTTTGTTTGTTTGTGAGTTTGTTAAAGGCTACGAACCACAATTGGTTTAAAAACGCTTGGAACTTCCCAACTGGCTTTACTTAATGTTCCACAGTGCTCAGGGTTAACGCAGGTCATCCGTGCCATTGCTGTGGGGTTCTCCCCGGATGCATGTGTTTTGGGTCTATAAATATTGAAAATATGTATTGGTTTCTTTTTCCAACTTATTAAACACTAGGTCTATTAAAGCATGAAACGAAAGGTTGCACATCACACATTCAGGTTCTTTTCTAGTTTCTGTTCTGACAGTGCATGTCTTTGAAAGCATGCGTAAACAAGATTAACAGATGTCACGTGACGGAGAGAAACATTTGTAGGTGAATAGCATTGGTCACTGCATTTTTATAACGTTTATACCTGGGTATTGCTTCTAACCCCGTGACTCCTCTCCAACCCCCATCCTCCCTGTCCCAGGTTCTTGTTAAGGTGATAAGTACAAACATTTTATGTGTGTGATAAAACTCTTTAAAAAGTTAATTTTAATGTATTAATAGTATTCTTAATGAGTGCTGCAAAAAACGGCTACAAGCCTGCTTTTCTCAAAATTCCATTTTCCTTAAGATAGGTTGTAGAAAAAAGAACAACTTGGCTTCCATTTTGCAAATCATCTTTTTTTTTTACTTTATTATCGTAATATGTTGGTCGTTCATAAAAAAGGAAACCATACTTGAGCTGTAAAGTAGACAATGAGGAAACACTTGAGGCTTCTGCTGTATGTTTATTTCTTGTTATTGTTACCTAGTAACTTGAATATTGTTTAATGTGTTGTAAGACATTGTAGAGTTTATCTCAAGCTGTTAAAAATGGTAATGTACAAATGTGAATAGACACTTATCTATAATATGGGTAAGTTTTGTTTCGCCTATAATAGATGTTTTATAAAAACAAGTGAGGGGACAATTGGTCTTTTTGTTTCCTTCCCTTTTTCTTTGCTTGCACAGGTTGCACTATTGAAAAACTGAGATTGTATAAACCTGGTCAAAAGCTGCAAGATACCACCATCTTGTAGATGTCAAATAAAAAGTTGTTATCCGAACCAGCAGTGGACTCTTGTTTAGGCCCCACCACCTCCAGAGGCAGTCCGCGGGCGTTCTGCAGAACTCGGGTGCTGCTCAGCGTGTCTCGGGTTTTAGGGTGAGAAGGTGTTGAGGGCTGAGATGTGGTGCCTGTGGATCCTTCCGGCAGAGTCGGAGTCGTTTGCCTTTGTGACCTTCTAGACCCCTCAGAGCAGGGGAGGCAGTGACGGTGGTGGAAAGCGGGGCTTTCGTCCTCTTGTGTTTCTTCCCGCCTGAGCGTGGCTGTCAGTTCAGTTGTGTCGCCTTTACCACAGGTGCTTTCTTTGGATTCATTTATTCCTGATGCCTAAGAGGCGAAGGGAGAGTACTGTCTGTTCTTTGGCATATTTCGCCTAGTGGATGCAACGTCTATCTTCAGGCAGGTCCCTGTGCCTCAGGCAGTGGTCCTCACCGTGTCGGCCAGTCCCGAGCCCCAGCAGCACTTCCCAGGCGTCCGTGTTTGAACTGTCGCCCGTGCTCAGGAGAAGCAGCTGGGACAGGAAGCCCAACAACCGGCCCCTCCAGTGCGACCGAATGGCTGGGCTGGGGAGGAGGAGAGACTCGGGCTGTAGGCCAGCTTCCCTGTTCTGTGTGGGCGCCAGCAGGTCACCGTGCTTCCGGGCAGCGTCAGGACGAGGATTCTTTAGCTGCAATTGGTGGCCCCGCGGTTCATGATGTAATGTTTGCTCGTGGAATGGCTACCTGATGCAAAGAGGCAGTCAGATGTTCTGTTCTTGGTAGAACAGCTTTGTTTTGCTTTTTAAATAAGGTCCAGAAATTAGGCCTCTGAAAATGCTCAGATAGACTAGACACTAAAAGGCAGCACTCAGCGTAAATGGAAGGGGGCTGAGGTGCCGTTCGCACCCCCTGCATAGGGCGACGTGCCAGAGCCTCTGCCCGTCCCCCTTCCTGGAGGCGAGCATATGACCTTTACACTGTGCTCTTAGCCAAGTCAGCAAGTTCAAGTTGGCCAATGATGGGAAAACCCGGCATTCAAGGTCCTTCTCTGCCAGAACATCAAGTCTGAAGCCAGCCCGTGTATTTCAGGATCTGAAAGCCTGTCTGGACCCCGGGGCCCTGTGGGTGTCTGCGTGAGCCCATGTGGCCTCCGCAATGCCTTTTCTCCCTTTTAGCAATACGACCCTGAGCACAGAGCTTGGCCTGTAAGTCACGGGGTGTATTCAGAGTTCACAGTGTCCAGAGCTGCTCAGACGGTTCGGGAATTAGTATTCCCCTAAGTTAGCACCCTTCGTCCACACTACAAGGTTTAGTGGGTTATCCAGATAGGTGTCAACGGTGTGAATTCCTAAAGGTATTAACCAAGTACTTTAAACACAACTTGATCAAAAAGTAAATATCTTAAGCAGTTTCCCCTTTGTGCTGCTAAATTGCAGATCCTTTCCTCAGTATCTTTACACCAATCTATAAGTTAGCAAGATCCAGCATCCAAAGCAATGTGGTGGTGCGTGTATGTATATATATTTATTGCAGTCCAAGTAGCACTTCAGAAACCTTTTTGAGTTGCAACGATGCACCTTTTCGTTTTATTTTGCCTCATCTGTAAAAGCGAAAGGTCTAGAACACCAAACTCCAGGGAAATAGACTCTTTTGGAGACAGAGTTTTCTGGCCGGAGCCCCTGGGCATTCACTTGCTAACCGCTGTGATGCTATTAGACAGCTGGTGGCAGGCTTGACTGGAGAGGGTACCCGCTCAGCTTTTACAGCTGTGTAACGGGAGCCTTTTGAGCAAGAGAGGGACAAGCATAGAACAGAAATGACATCCCAGGTGATGAAGTAGGAGCAGAGGCCAGGTATTTTCCCGTTGGGTCCTTTTCTTGGTGAGATGAAGAGGAAGGTCCTTATCTGAAACCTGGTTTTTAAAATGTACCTGAGGGACAGTCAGTAGTTTCTAAGAATGGTGCCGCTTGAGAGTCGCTGGTAGCAACCCAGGTATCACATGTTTGGTTAGTTCAGGCCGTGAGGTGACAGTGGTCACCACTGGGATGATGGGCACTTTTGACTCCGCTCCCTGCGTCTGGGGTCTCCCCGCTAACACCGCACCCTTGTACACACACCGTGCACACTAGGCTGCTCGAAGTCTATGCAGCTCACAGTCCACGCCTACCTGGCCGCAGCTGTGAGCAAGATCCATTTGCAGAAATTCCTCGTTGGCTGCCAATGTCTATTACAAAAGCAGTGTCTTTTAAGGGCATGGAGGTGGAGGAGCACATCTAGACACCTGCCACTCAAGCTAGCTAGTCATGCTTTCCTGAGTCCTTAAGGTGAAATCAATACCCACCTTCTAATTTTACGTTGTACTTATATATGTGTACATAAGGGTGTATATATAGAAATGTTGAGCTCTTTCGAATTCTGAATGTAAATATTTCTTGTAAATTGAGACCCTTACCAACTGGTTTTCCCTTCAATCCTATTTATTCTTTTCTTGACTTCCTATAACGGGGCATTGTATAAAAAAAATTTTTTTTTAATGTAGAAAAGTATGAAAACTTAGTTGAATTTATTCACATATTTTAGAATTCAGTTTTGCATCTTTGCTTTGAATTCCAATGTGTGTGTTTTGTGTTAATATTTTCCAATGTGCGATTGTGTTTTGCCTTTTTATTACCAATTTACTGTGTGCAATGCATTGTATTGGGGGAGGGGTGAATTTGAGTGCAATTTCTGATACTGTCATTATATGACTAGTTATGCTCATTCATGTTGCTCTTTGGAAGCTATAGTGAGCCTGATATTTTCACATTAAAAAAAAAAAAAAATTCTTGCCAAGACTTCCTTTAAGCTCCTCTAACTTCTTCAGTGCATTGGGATCAAATGTAACTCCGCAGCCAACCCAGCCGTTCCAGGCCCGCCCCGAACTCCTCACCGGCCCTCCCACTGGGGGGGAGCCTGCAGACCTGCACACGGAGGTGTGTCCTGCTGCTGCTGCTGCAAATGCCTCGTGTTTCTCCCAGAACCTGGGCCTGTTTTCTAACTGCCGGGGACCATCAGAGATGTACTTTGCAGTGAGCTCAGGTCGCCTGGTAGAGAGATTGACAGCAGACAGGGAGGCACCCCGGTGCAGCCTGTGTTGGTGGCGACGGGTGGCATTGGACAGAGAGCAACAAACCTGCCGTGGAGGCTCCCAGGAGCCCTCGGCTCATGGGGGATTCCTTGCTGAGGGTAAGCCAGGCTTTACCTGAGGAAGCGCTGGCCGTGGGCTCTCCTGCAGTCCTGTCACCTCACGGTGCTGGTGAATTGCTCTTGACTAAACGAGCCACACACCAGGGGGCCGAGCTGGACCAAGGCTTCCTTCTCGGTTAGTGCTGCCAGCAGAGAGGCCAGGTGACTCGTGAGCCCACGTGGCAGGGTCCGTCACCCAGGAGGCACGCAGTGGGCTTTTTATGAGCATTGCATGGGCCTTCCTTTCGTGAACACGATTCATTCATTACTGTTGAACTTGGTAGACTTGTTGAAAATTTCAAAGTCCTCTGCACTTGGCGAAGTCTTGGGAAACTTAGAGGGTCCTGGTGTGGGACATGCTCCGTCCGGCATGAATGCCCTGCAGCCACCTGCCAGCCGTCCTCCGATGCCGTTGAACCGAGCTTTGCAGCAGCAGCCATGG